CTACATTACATGAAAAATAATATAAAATGGCCTTAAGGGCTCTAAAAGACGACGCGTAACATTTGGTGGCTCCCTCTGTACATTTTCGAGTATACGAATGTATCATGCATGCAAAGTTTACAGTTTTAAATTTTGCACATAAAAAAATGTCCGAGTCCTCCTTCAGTCGCAGGGGCTCTAGGGCCAACGCGACGGCTTAGCATTGTACACACATCATCTATTAAAAAATCCCTATAGTATTATTATACTGGTAAATTCTTTTCCATTCTCTATTGTAGGCGTACACCCATTACAGAAATGAGAAGAAAAAAAAACCCTAAGGATTTACTTTTAATGTCAGCACACAATAATGCTCAGTGGCGTAGCTAAGGGAGGGAGAGGGGGGTCAAAACTCGAAAGTCCCCCGGGGGCCCCTACTTGAGGGGGGCCCCCAAAGTCGTGTCCGAAATTTTTTTTTACATTTAATAATGTCGAATGTCAAAATGCAGGGGCCCCTAAAGAGGCCAAGCCCCCCGGGACCCCAAATCTCTAGCTATGCCACTGATAATGCTCCCCCCCCAATCACATAAGTGTACCCCCCACTGCAGACAACCCTCTTCTTCCCCAACTCCAAATTTATATCAATGTATTTATCATAATTTAGGAAATAATAATGAGAATGAAAGGATTTTTCTTTGAACTGCAAGTGTCGGGATTTCCCGAATTTACAAGGGAATTTATTAGATATGTCTCAGTGAAACCTTGATTTTGACTTAGGTAAATTACATTTTCATAACACAGCTAAAATTTAAGATTTAATTAATTTATTTTGGAAAAGTTCAAACTCTTTGATTCCTTACCTTCATTGAAGACGCTGCATTGAACAAGATAAGACTAAGTAAGCCATTTAAATTAATCAGAGAACTGTGTCAGTGTCATTGTTATCTATAAGGCTGATTTACTCTTGACTATGACTATGCATAGGCCAACTGTATTTATAAACAATAAATTATAAGCTTTTAATTAACTTTAGGAACCATAGACACATAAAATATTTTCCAAAACTCGCTATTAAATTACCATGACACTTAAGTGACATTAAGCATTATTATTTTCTGATTGAAAGTCAACTTTTCTTTAGTCTATATCTAATTAGGAGTATCAATACCTCCTCACCCCCAAAAAAATCGAACATACAGAAACCTTTGAAATTTTTTAAAAATTAAATTTTAAATTTTATTTTGTGGTAAAACCACTTGCTTATATCAAGACACTCTTTTTTCAGAGATTCAGACAATTATTTATAATTGTATGTACACTTTTCTTTGCTTTTATTCTTAATTTGGTACTTATTCTGACATTTTTTTTCCTACAAAGATAGACTGTAAGAATGTTGTCTAAATGGTATAAGAATAAGAGTTAAATGTATTTTGTAACATCACATGTTTTAATTGTATATCTTAATTTTATAACTACTGATCTGATATAGTTTATTTGCCAAAATTTATGGCTTACATTTTAATGCCTCATTAAGACCAACTGATGTAATCTAAGAATTATATTTCCTAAGAATGTAGTTTATTGTAAATAATATCATGCTAATATGCTGGGATTTCAGTTATAAGATTTTTGGGATGAATAGGAAGTATCATCCTGAGCTACAATAATTTTTGTTATTTTTTGGGGGCTCATTGATTAAATGTTACATTTTTGTTGTTCATTTAAAATTAATTTTATTATTTTTAAAACTTTTAAATAATCAAATAAAGAACTTTAACATTTATTTTACTTCCCTGTGATATCAATTAATGCGTTTAAAGTTTGTTTCTTAAATATTCCCAATTATATGGACACATTCGGTTGGTTGTGAAAAAAATCTAAAGAAATAATTCAAAACACAGTTGCCCAATGCCTCATTTTCCAAGGTTATAATTTAACATTTGATTATATGACTGCTCACTAGAATACTTAACTATAAGTAAAATGTATATTTTCAAACCAGTTGAAAACAGTTGAAGATGTCAAGTATGGCAAACAAGGCACAGCAAACTCTGAGATTTGTAAATTTTATCAATCAACAATTTGAGGTATTCAAAGAAGAGTGTAATACACTAAAAATCGCTGCAGACGATTTTATAAATGGGGTAATTTACACCAATATTTTCTTATCTATATACATGTTAAAAAACTAAATTTTGTATAGTCTCATTTATATAAGATATTAAGACATTTAGAAGGTGTTTATGATATTTATAAACTCACTATTCAAGTACTAAAACAGACGATTTGAAAGCATTTTTTTTACTTTCAAGAACTCACATGTACAGTTATAATGTTCTTTTTAATATTTATTATATATTTTTAATAATAAAAAAAAAGTATTTATAATTATAAAATTCAACATTATTTTAGTGAGAAAATAATTATTATTTTGGTGCAACGCTTTGTTTTACTATTTGTAACGGACAATGTTTTCACATGAAAACAGAGAGGTAGCATGAGTGAACAGTGAATTGTGTTGACCATGTATTTTGAGATGCAAATGTGAGCTCCACGTTTTTGGAGAGTAAAATTATGTTTTTGTCAGAGCGGTTGTTTTGCACGCTTTGCTGGTAATAAAGTATGAGTTGACTGAGATAGTAGAGAGCTGAGCGCAGAGCAGTAGAGTCAGTA